AATGGAAGCTCTTATTACCAATCATGTGAAAGAATATGTTTTGAATATTACATGATGATAAAAATTTTGACGGGAAACCACCTACTAATTGATATATTTGGTAAATTAGTGTATCTCTCGCCTGTTGAGAGATATGAAATGCACGTGTCGCGCACATGTGTGTAGTCCCATATACATCTTTCTGTGTACAGTGCTTCTAAGTCCAACTTTATGAAGACTTGGCCAAATTTCTTATCATTTTGATGATTCCAGAACCTTGCAGTACATCTATGCTAGATGATCAACCTTTTCTGATCGATTTCACAACGTTTCTTTCACAATGCAATCGCATGACCATAACTGGTCTTTAGCTTTAACAAGCACAAAAGGGTAGACCTGATGAAAAATAAAATAAAATAAAATCAGAGCTTTTAGAGCTTTTTTATGGGCAGGACATTGTTGATGAGTGGGCAGGAGTACTTTTATTGTTGACAGGGCTAGCTGTTTCCGCGGTTGAATACTTTAGCATTGAAAGTCAGTTTGGCGGTTTCCTAAACCAAGAACGGATTGTGTAATTACCTGCAAGTTACTCTGTATAGGCCTAGACATGTTTCCATTCAGTCGTATCCCACGCTATAGTGTAAATGAAGCTTCATTATAATACAGGTATACCTACATGTACATATATGCTATTCTACCATGTACAATACTCCAGGGATACTAGCGCATCCTTTCTAACAGTGTGTGAGGCTGTTTCTGTTGATGGTTGTTTCATCGTAACACTGATATATATACAATGTATGTAATGTGCAACGTACATTAAGTATAAAAACAAGACAGAGAAAGTAGAAACAATAAGAGAAGAAGAAGGAAGATGCAGGAGGAAGAGATATTAAAAAAAGAAAAAGAAACTGAAGAAGAGGATTTTGACGAAGAAGAGGAAGAAGAAGAAGATGTACATTTAGCAGCAGCAGTAGCAGTAGCATAACAGAAGTCATTAAATAGAGATATACATGCAATGGAGAAAAGGAGGGGAAAAAGAAAAGAAGAAGAGGGAGAACTTACACAAGATTAAGAGGGGTGGGGGAGGAGAGAATACAGGAATACAATGGAAAGAAGAGAATAATTGGACAAGACGGCCGGTATCATTATCCCATCATGCTTTTGGATCCTTCACATCTCAGCTGACGAGATGAAATATTCATCCAGATCTCTAATCTATTGAGACCAAATCTGATCTCTGACATAATGAGTTTATCACCCTGAGGCTGTATCACCTTTTTCATGTGAAGGCTTAGTGTGCGACTTTGACATTTCTATGGATGAAAATTACACACAATTTTTCGCAACATTGAAATGTCAAGTTGGCCCAAAGCTCACTTGATTGATGCATTATTAAAAGCCATTATTAATTTAGCTTTATATACCTACCATGGTACATGTAGTCCTTCTCTTTGCTCTGGATTTGTTTTGTAAACACTGTAGAGCTATCTGACAACAGCACAGATATTAGGTACATTCAGGAAGTTCAAATGGTTTTACCCTCGTGTTTCTGTGTACATATGTTTATTTCTGCTCATACATGTATACCAAATAATCACAAACAAATTTGGTATTTGCAAAAATTTAGTTCCTCTTCAGCATTCTATGCATATTTATGTAAACAGCAATCATTACTGTTATGTGACTCGCCCTTGGGACAATCATTTCGTATCCATAAAAATGCTTTTTTAGAGAGTGACAAAAAAAAGAGGGGAAATTAAAAATGGTAAGTAACAGTTACAATGAGGAAGATTTCACTTTTCCTGGCCAATTTCCAACAGAACTCATCTGAACAAAAACATAACTTTTATGCTGTTTAGAATGATTAAAATCAATTTTTACGAAACTCATAACCAAATCCATCCTGTCATATGCCCATGTTTATACACTAAGGAACCCTGACAGCACATCATTACCTGTTATGAAGATTCACTACAAACTTCTTCATTTGGCAATCAAATTAAGTTGACTCCTAGATAGGTGGATGTATCTGTTATTTTTGTCTTATTACTGTTGGCAGTTTCTATTTTTCTTAAAATTTTTCGTATTGAAGGATACACCAGGTGGATCGTATTTAAGACAAAGTACTTAATTAACTTTGAAGGTGGCCTTGACCTTGAACTGCTTAATGGGGGTCATTTTAATATCTTGCTCATGATATTCAGACGTTTTGCCGTAACTGCAAGGGCATTGGCACCCCTATCTAAAGGTGAAGAAGAGGGCAATTAAAAAGGAAAGGAAGAGGGGGAAGGAGACATGAACAGATAATGTTTCAGTCTCCTCCCACACCACACCACACCTAATCCCCCTAATTAATAGCCTTGTTAATTAGCATTTCATCCTCTGAGTAAGACTAGTCTCTCCCTCCCCCCCCCCCCCCATGATGTCAGCATACCCCCTCATATGAAACTACTGTAATACAGTATACATTATATGAAGCACATTTTGGTATTTCAAATGCTCTTAATAATTTAAACTTGTTAAACTATCTATATATTTCATATAATAATAAATAGGCAGCAACTACTGTAGCAAGTATCAACTGCCATTTAGTATGTTGCCTGAAGGGTTTTTATATGGAGCAAAAATAAATGGGCCTAGGTTTGTACTTTGAATGTTTTCTGACAGTGTACAAGCTTGCTATCCTTTTGAGACGTAGAATTGGGTCAAATATCCGGCAATCATTAGTGAGTTTTAATGGGGGATTTGTTTTTTGCATGAAACTACAGGCAGGTCCTAGCATGCCATCAGTGGGGTATATATGCAATATGATAGTGTACATGTATGTAGCATTGGGCAACCATACTAAAATTACTAATGATACTGATAGAGATAAATCACAACATATGGACTTTGCGTAGGCCATGCCAATCCTTCAAAGTTCAAAATTACAAGTGATAATTAATTAACTTGGCCTGAAAAGTGTGCACACATTAAGATAGTATACTACATAGTTTGCATGATACATGTACCGGTATGTACAGACATACATTTTATGACCCCTTTTTGTATTGTGTTATCAAAATTTGTCATTCGTAATTATGAAAACTATCAGTGTTTAAAATAATAATCAGCAAGCAGAAATGAATCAATTTTCTGATGAAATTCAAAAGATAATAGAAATGGTTGTTTAATAGTCAGTAATAAAATGTACATATAAGTATCAAATTGATTGTCAAAAATGAAAATATGAAAAGAATCATGTCTGAAAGTTTGTTTGTTTTTGTTGCTGTTGCTTGATCAAGCGTATATCGGGAGGAGACTATCATCATTGACAAAAGTCAACCCACATACATTGTTGAGGCACAGCCGCACAGGTGATGAAGTGCTGTGTAAACAGTGTGCATTGTGTAGGAGAAGTGTGACAGTCAAGTTATTCTGTTTGAATGACATATATTGTTAAAGATTCATGGAGTGTGTTAGAATGCACCCTTGACGTAAACTGCGCAAATTAGAAAAAAAGTTAAATTTTAAAGGTTTGTATTCAAAGGGGAAACTGAGAAGGTTGAGTCCATGAAGTGTGGCTTATTTCACTTTGGATAAAAGTAGCAAGGTCTTTTAATCATCCTACAAAAATTACTCATTATACAAACATGAGTGGATTGCAAAAGAAGTTGTCAAGCTTCATACTGTGTAGGAAAGAAGCAAAAGACTCAATGTATGACAACAATTCTCATAACTCACACTAACTATAAGTTTAAGTGGTTTCAAACTTCTAAGTTATCTTGTAAGTGTAGTTAAGAGACCATGCAGACACACTTGTGGTTAAGAAACTTTCAGTGAACTCAAAGTTACAACCACAGCAGATCTTAAGGTTAAGGTTAGCGTCATAACTGCGAGCAGCGGGGGTCCTCACTCAAAGTTATGTGCCGTGTGGACACAGTTAACTTTGAGGTTACGCCAGTTTCCCTCTGGCTTAAAGGTAAAGACCAGTATTGGAAACGCCCCAATTTCAAAAAATGAAATGGAAGCTCTCATTACCAATCATGTGAAAGAATATGTTTTGACTAATACATGATGATAAAAAATTTGCCGGGAAACCGCCTACTAATTCATATATTTGGTAAATTTGTTTCTCTCATGGTCTGTGAGAGATATAGGGTAGTCCAATATACATCTTTCTGTGTATAGTGCTTGTAACTTTACGAAGAATGGGCCAAATTTCTTATCATTTTGATGATTCCAGAACCTTGCAGATGCTAGATGCTAGATGATCAACCTTTTCTGATCGATTCCATAACGTTTTTTTTCACAATGCAATCGCATGACCATAACTGGTCTTTACCTTTAAAGTTTAAAATTATGAGGTACCATGTGAACATAGCCAGGGTTTCGCATTCTGAGATGATATTTTACATGGGATTGAAAATGGAATGGGTAATACGATCTGATGTGCCCAGAGATTGACCCTGATCAGTGCTTCTGTAAAGGATTTGATGTTGAAATTAGAAACATCTGCATATTCCTAAAAGACTCTCCCACTTCCAGCTTGGTTGCATCCTTATTTGTTGGGATGCAGTAATTACATGTATGATCATTTTCATGTATTTATCAGAGATTCATTTGTTTGGACATTTCTTCCTCTTTTTTTTGACCTACTGTGTATGTAATATTTTGTTAATTGCATGAGTATTTATTCTGATAATGAAAATGCAGATATTCATTATGAGTTGCTAGATCAGAATTTTATATCATAGTTACAATGTTTATTTCATGATAAATGTTCTACTATTAAAATACCCCTATGCCAACTCCTTTCTCTCTCTCTTTCTTTCTCTCCCTCTCCCCCTCTCTCTCTCTCTCTCTCTCTCTCTCCCTTCTCTCTCTCTCTCTCTCTCTCTCTCTTTATATCTTTCTCTCTCTCTCTGTGCTTTCTTTCTCTCTGCTTTCTCTCTGCTTTCTCTCTATAACTTAGCTATTCATTTGAATGTACAATTAATAATGACTTTATTTACCTTTTACCTCTTCTTTTTCTGCAGCTGTGTGATCGTGGTCTTCAATCCAAGAAGAAATAAACAGTTCCATATCTTCAACCAGTCAAGGTAAGCAATACACTTTCAAATTAAAATAATACCTATGATTGCCAAAAGAAAAGAAAACTTTTGTAATGATTCATGTTGTAATAGTCTTTCATACACTATGTTCAATCAGTTCTTGTATTTTATAAGAATTAAACATTGATATACACTGTACTGTATATAAATGTTAATTTTATTAGGTTTATGTTTACCTGTAGAGTATTTGATATACTAGAAAACACAAGCTGTATATTTAAAAATTGTACACATATATGCCATATGTATTTTCTTTGACTCTTTCTTCATATACAGTGTGTATCTTATATATTCATGTTTAGTTCCGTAAAAATAGTATTTTAAGAAATAAAAAGCTGTACATCAAACCAAAGTACTTTACACAAGAAAATATCAACAGAATCCATCAGAATGTAAATATCTTTTACAGTGTATGTATAAGCAAAATAAGTCCACGCTCTTTTACTCTTATCTTTTACGAGATAATTCTATGTTTCACTCCAATAGTTTCTTTCAACCTGTACACATTGTATGAGACAAGCTTATTATGGGTGATTTGCCGTTGCCAGGTTACCTGTATTTCAGAGCATAAGTGGGTAATTTTTCACCCGTAACGTCCCAAAATTGCTCCATTTGCAGACGTCATGGCACCTTACCTGCACTTTTGAATGCAATGTCTGTAAAATAAAGAGGTTTGATCGGCGGAATTTGACCAGATTGTTGCAAATTGTTGCCAAACGGTATTACGTGGGCTCTTCAATATTAGAAGCATGCACTCTTGAAATGAGTGAGATAAGCAAATAGAAATGAACTCAGAGTCAGCTGTTTGCTTGCACTCTGGGCATTGCCAGTTTCACGTTGAAAAGAAAGGAATTCGTTGGTGGTGACAAAGTCAAAAACGACAAAAAATGTTTGTGGAATTTATCATAATTGATCAGGGGTGCATGAAGTGTGAAAACTGCCTGTTGAGAACCAAAAGGCCATTAACTGTAGTGCTAAAGCAGAGGAGTTAAAGCCCTTCTGATTCTCAGCAGATGAATTGTAGGATGTAACCACTTTTAAAGTTCAAGGTCTGAACGTAAGTTAAACTGTCTATAGCTACGTTGTAGAGGTTAAAATAGCTTTCAATTACGGTAGCTTGCTAGTAATTGCTATCCGGATAATTACACAGCATACTTTATTATGTACAAAAACTCACAATGGGAAATTTCAATTTTCGCTTTCTTTTGTCATAATTTTTTCAATTTGTTTTTTTTTACACATGATACTAGTATTCAATAGATGGTATCACCTATCCAGCTATAAACCATCAGAATTAATATGCTTTCATACAACAAAGACATTTCCAAGGCTAACCCAAGGTACAAATAATTGTTACTCAGTTTGATGGTTTCAAGAACTCTCCAAACTTTAATAATAGCTACCTGGGGAGGTCAGAACTATTTGATAACAGAGTTTGTTGAAGTTGTATATTAAAGTTTTACACCTCTGTAGAAATGATTACATGGATCAGAGAAGAGGTCATTATTTTCAATTGTTGATTTCAAATGAACACTTATGATACTTTAGGTTTGTCAAAAAGCTAGAAATTGACATTCAGTGGCAAATCTGAAGACTTTGAAATGTGGCATTTTGCCATCACTAAACCTGCTTTGAATTTTGAGTGGACATTGTAGGTGACAGATAGACTAGAGAAGAGCAAGAGTGAGACATTAACCAATATCAAACTGTCTTTAGATTAAATAGAATGATTGTATTGTATTTACATTTGTTATCAGTGGTTGTTTAGGTTTTTAAAGATAAGGAAAAACAATCAAAGACCTTTGATATTTTTTATTATAGGTTTGGTAAATATTTACAATTCAATTGTTACAATATCTCAACATGCCTTTACACGCTTACAATGTGTATACGTGCGCATGTCCATGTACATGTACGTGCATTGTGTTTACAGGATCAAAAAGGGAGAATTCTGCGTAATACATGATTAACAACTGAGACACCATATTTCACTTTTAAGTATTCAAAGGCACATAAAGTTTAGAATCCCTACAATAATAAATTGCTAAACAAATCATATACATCGCTAAACAAATCATACATGTACATAAGGAAAAGACATGCAAAAAGATTAAATCTTTATTCTATAAATCCACAGATTCTTATTAAAAATAGAAAGCAAGAAATATGATTTACTAGTATCACTCTAGAGAATTTGGAATTATATCTAATTATTGATCTGTTACCAACCCCCTGACCACACTACAATAACCAATTGTGACTTCTGAACCCTTTCAGCAACTGGCACACAGGACAAAACTTTGGCAAGGTGGCAATTTCAATTTTCAAACAACAACAGCAACAACAACAGAATTTGAGCTAATATTTGATGTATGCATTGAAAGAATTAAATTGTGCTGATATTCAGATTGGCTTTGTAATAATCAAATTAAATATGGAGCTAATCAAATTACAACAAAAAGACGATTTAACTGTAAACAATATTCTGACTGCCGAATGAATGTACGGATATTGGATGAGAGAGGAAGAGCAGTGACATTTCTCCTAATCATAGAGGAAATCCTATATGACAAGAACTGACAGGTTTTTTCCACTTCCTCTAATCAATGTGTATGTGGGCATATAGTGGGAGGAAACAAAGAAATCCTTACTAATGTGTCATTTATTTTAGAGGGAAAAAAAAAGAGAGATTGACAACATGCTTTTTGTTTGTGCCAATGCCAATGGTGCCAAGTCGCTTCCTTCCTCGCTACAACCACAAACATTTGGACATAATTTGAACCCTTTTAATATGGAAAGAACGTGATTTTTTCTCTTTTATTGGGGGGGGGGGGAGGGGGCACTTTTGGAAAAATAGAGGTTGTGGTTTCAGTTACATGCACAGTAAATGTACATGTTATGTAATTCAACAGTTTATAAGTTAGATTTAATAAATTATATCGCATGAATAAATACATATATATCTCTGTTTCCATTGTCCTACCATCTTTTTATAAGAACTTTTTTTTTAAAGGGGCGTCCAAGAAAGGTTATAAAAAATGAGTGAGTGTACACATACACTTTTCTAAATGAGAATCAAAATGATCTTAATCACTCATTTTGTTTTGATCAAAATATGATTAAATTCTGTATTCTATTTTGGGACCAACCTAATTTAAGTAGTAGTCAGCTGGTGATAATCAAATAATCAGATTTTTCATTTTCAAAGTGTCTGTTTCATAAAAAAATTGAATAAAATAATTTAAGTCTCTCTCTTCCTCCCTCTTTCTCTCTCTCTCTCTCTCTCTCTCTCTCTCTCTCTCTCTCTCTCTCACTTTCTTTAATGTTAAATTATAGTTATTTGTATTTAATGAACTTTAAACTGATGAAATTGTTCATGGGAAGTGTTAATTGTGCCATGGCCTAAAATTTATAGCCCAGTCTGTTTTATTCTGGAGCATTAATTTGAAAGAACTGGGTAATTCACACGTAACAGATGTCCATGATCCACTTTTTTTGTTAGCCCTCATTGTCTGGACGAAACAGAATTATTGATTTGATCTATGTTTCAATTGCTCTAATTATATGTTGTGATGATTGGAACCATTTGTTTGAATGCAATGCAATGGGGACAAGTGGCTAGCTAGGTGCTATAGTATCCAAATAATACACAGCAGTGAGGGCATTAGTAAGAATTACCCACACAAGGTACCTTTGGAACAGTCTAACTGATATGAAGGTACCGAGTGTGGGTAATTTTACTAATGCCCGAACAAAATGATGTGTATTATTTGTTTTATGAGATTATGTTTCATTTGTTTATAAAATGATTTTACTAACGACCTGTCATTAGAATTGGATAATGACAGGTCATTATCCAATTTATGCGTTCTAAAGGCAAAATAAATGCCTGGTCACGTGTACGCTTTCAACCAATCATTTGATTAGGATCCACATCATCATCTTATAAAACATTATAATGTCCAATTCTAAAATGGCCAAGGAGGGTTTTGATAGACAATTATTAAATATCTGGAATCTTGTTCCCACATCTCTCTCTCTATTTGTTTTCACCATTTCTGTGCAGCCTCGCTATTGAACCTATCTAGGTACTCTCCCCATTTTCTTCCCTATTTAAGCATCTTCTTGGAATTTCCTCTCCCGGTCACTCGCCCTCCTCTCTCTCTCTCTTCCCCGATGTTAATCATAGATGCTGTAGATAATCTTTTCTTGCCTTTATCCTATCTTATCTTTCCCCATCTTGGCCCTCTAAATAAAGCTGCAAACTTACTTTCCCCTTTTTTTTAAAGAGCAGTCCTGCCTTCCCTTCCAATTTACCGGCTTCCAAAATAGATGCAGATATTTTCCCTCTTGGCTCTGCTACTTTCTAATATTAGTTCTGGAGGCGCTATATGTGAACACCTGGCTGTTAGCTCAGTTCTCTGGGATATCCTATCCTTTGGGACACCGCAAGAACCATGATAAGCGCGTTCACATATTAAATGGTTAAAAATCGCCATTGAGGCGATAGTACACTTCACACATTTATTCCATTAATAAATAATATTGATATGTGAATACACAGGGCCTTTTTATGTGTAGTTACTTTTCTTACATAACTTGCTTTATTTATATAAACTTATATGTCAGATACTATTTATTTTTCTGTCTCGTTTTTACGTTTTTAGCGTTTAAAAAAAATAAAACCAGTTTACTGATTCATATGTGAACGAGGCTTCAGGCTTGAAATAAAAATGTTGTAATTCACTGATAGCATCAAATCATGCTGATGCTGAAATAATATTATATTTTGTAGGGAGATTGGAAGAAATGATATTGAGATGTAGAAAATAACTAGAAGTGCAATCATTTCATTATTACATTTTTAAATAATTATCTTTGTTTGTTAGTTTTGTTTTTTGCCTTGAAGCAGTTTTGCAATGACTCACATTCACAAGTATCATGCAAAACCTTCCACTAGCTTAATTTGCTTGAAACTCCTCAAGTTTTTGCCTATATACACATGTAGTTTCAAAATCTCATTTTCCCCTCCCATATTTGATCCTCCTTCATCTAATCCTTTGTTTCTATCTTGCAGGAAAACCCTAACGGCACTTGCGTTTTCTGGAGACGGTCGGTACTTGGTTTCGGGAGAGGTGAGTCACACGAAAGAAAGATGGGAAAGAGATGATATGGAGGGTGCATTACCTAATTAAAAGAGGACAGTGTTTGTAAATCTTGCTCTACTGCATGTTTATGGTGGAACAAATGGCTAGCATTACCCTAAAATGTCTCTAAAAAATTGGAAATTCATAAGTATTTGTTAGATCCGAAAAATAATGGAAGGCAAACTTTCCTTTACTCTTTATGTTGCACATGACTTTGCAATCTAGGTCTTAAAATTTATTCAAACTGTATATGTAGGTGGTTTGAAGTTGAATGATTGATTTTGATTTGATTTGATTTGATTCGTTTCTGTCTCAATATGAACATATTTAGACATACAAAGTACATGTGAATTCAATTATGACATATAAAAACAATGTGATAAGATTGTATAAAAGACAAAATAGAAATATTGAAGCACTTAAAATGATTATGGATTGTTTACCAAAATGTATACAATGAAAAAAAGACATGCTAAAGAAGCAATGCTTGTATGGCGCATTGCAAGCCCCTAAAACCTAATATTTAAAGATAAACTTTAGTACTGGTAATGCGATTGCATTGTGAAAGAAAAGGTGTGGAAAGGATCAGAAACAGTTGATCATGTAGCATGTAAGTATTGGTGTGCACTGCAAGGTTCTGGAGTCATCAAAATCATAATAAATTTGACCGAGTCTTGGTAAAGTAACAAGCACATACACAGAAAGCTATGTATGGGACAACACGCATTGTGTCGGGGTTGGTACTACCTTGATTCCTTGTCTTTCTATGCTCATTACTCAGCCAGTATACATTTTCTTCCAAAATCGTTTGGCACATGTCATTTATTTGTAATCTTGAACATTCAGTGTAAGTTTCGTTTGATTCTGTGAGAAATAATTTTCTTTTTTTTACCAGTACTCAACTTTATCTTTAAGTCCAAGTCACAACCATATTGACTCATGCTTTGTGTATGACTCAATGTGAAATGAACCAACAAACACCTTGATGCCAATCAATCCATGTAACACGTCTGTTGTGGTAAACCTCCAAATCCATGCATTTTGTCAATGAATGCACGTACACTCGTACAGCATGATTGCCTGTGTACATGATCACTTCATGTGTTAAACAGATATAATGTAAATAATTGTTACTCTTGATTAATGATGGTGATACAAATTTATTGGTGGTGCGTGACTTTTGGCAAGTATTTGCATTTTATTATGAAGAGATTGCACGAAGGATAAGGACTGTTTTATTCAAGCAACTACATGTATGTAAACATTCATTTATGAGGTCTACTGCAGCTCAATTCTTTATGCAATATACACACCTCATATGATTAACATACAATGTATATAGCAATTGAATGATAATTATATCTTCTTTTCTTTAAAGGTAAAGACCAGTATTGGAAACGCCCCAATTTCAAAAAATGAAATGGAAGGTCTCATTACCAATCAAGTGAAAGAATATGTTTTGAATAATACATGATGATAAAAAATTTGCCGGGAAACCGCCTACTAATTCATATATTTGGTAAATTTGTTTCTCTCATGGTCTGTGAGAGATATAGGGTAGTCCCATATACATCTTTCTGTGTATAGTGCTTGTAACTTTACGAAGAATGGGCCAAATTTTTTATCATTTTGATGATTCCAGAACCTTGCAGATGCTAGATGCTAGATGATCAACCTTTTCTGATCGATTCCACAGCGTTTCTTTCACAATGCAATCGCATGACCATAACTGGTCTTTACCTTTAAGAACATTTAATTGTGGGTTTCAGCAGTAAGATATGATGACGACTGACGAGTGGCATTGAGCTAAGAGCAATTTATACCTGTAAAGCTCCAAGAAAGCTCTGATAGTAGAAGGAAAAAAAATTATATTAAAAATCACAGCACGAAAACCTCACTTTCATATTGTTAGAACTATAAAATAGAAAAATACCAACCCCCCCCCCCCCCAACAAAAAGCACTTTTGAACAACATTTAAATGCTTGGAAATAAGAAGCGAAGAGGCGCATAAAAGGGTTTTGGAACATTGAGCTTGAAGATGTCTTGTACGTGTGTACATGTACTTTATGTAATGTTTTGCATATATCAACAAACATGGATAGAGCCTTGAAAGGTTTGATTTGTAACAAGATTCAGAGAGAAACCGATTACCTTTGATTACCTGAAATTGCATGATGTGAAAATTGGATGATAACACCCTTTCCTACTTCCTGTCAAATTGCCACTTTGCAATATAAATCTAAATCGACACTTACAACACCGATCCTATCAGAAGCAATAAGAGGATCTGTGAATTGCCTCTGTCGCCTTCGATGGAACATAATGAGATTCTCTCTCTCTCTCTCCCCCTCCATCTCATTTCTCAGCCTGCCACTTATTACACACCGATGCAGGGTGTGAAGTACTATCTTATCTGATTTTATATTTTGTTTTGTTTGATGTAAAATAACAATACCATTTTGAAATATACCAGTGAATGTGGGGATGAGGAGTTCCTTAGAAAAAGGTGTAGTAGTTTGAAAGCCTTTTCCTCCTTTTTTTCCCCCTTACAAATACATGTACACTGTTTATAGGCTCCATATTGTAGCTAATCATCAAAGGTCTTACATTTAGATTGTATTTATTTCATGGTTGGTATTAAAAACACAGAAGTTCTTTTTCTTATTGAGAATGCGATAATTTTTGTTTTATTCTTTAGGCAGGTTTTCATTGTCATCAAAGCTAAATTTACAACTATTTTCAACAGCAACTATTTTCAGATAAACAAACTTTATCAAGTTCATTTAAACTTGGCTCAAGTCGACATGGATTTTTTTTGAGGGGTAAAATAGATGTCACAGTCTTCGCGTGTAGACTACATATACACCCTCTTCATCTGCGCATTATATGCTATCCCACCCTGCACTCCAACCTAAAGGTGAATCATAAGGAAATCCACCAAGACAACTAACTCGCCACCGCCGCAATCGAAATGCCACATATCTCAATGTCGGCACCCACTCCAGTTGTCGCCGGAGATTGAGAAGTCTATTTTTGGACCCCCAGCCATATATTTGCATCTCAGCGCTTCTCCATTTAACAAGTGCGAGCCCTTTCCCTCCAAACCAAAGCTGCGAATGCTTCAATGGCTCTCCCCGAACGAACGACGTGACTCATCGCTGTGCTTTTGTATTGAGCGCGATACTACACGTGTTGGGCATCCCCAACACTTAGTCAAATTAATGTCTGATGTTTCATGCGTGCGGTAATGAAGTTGATCAGGGGTGATTAGGGGGTACCTGTTGGTGGTTCAGGGAGGATGAATATTCTGATATTGTACTGTAGAACACACATGTATGAAATTGCTTTGTTGCTAAATTGCAGTGGAAACCCTCACAGTATGATTATTGATTTTTTTTTTTCCCCATGATCTAATTTAATACAATTAGAATTCAACCGTGAACTTGTGAGACCTTGAAATACAACATATTGCTCAAGTATTGTGTGTAGCCTATTTATCATATCATTTACCATATCGTATGCATATTCTGTATGTTGTGTTTGTATGTAAACTACAAATGTTTAATTAAAGATAAATCCAGTGTTACCTGGTATGTATTTTGTGTTCTATTCAATTTGTTTATGTTTTGTGTGTTAAGTGGAAATTAAAACACTTGAACTTATATTTAGAACACATTTTAAAAATTGATTCAAGAAAATTTTAATGATCAGGTATGCAAACTGAAATGTCTTGTATGAAGTGAAGATTTACGCTTAGTTGAACAAATTATTTCAATGAATTGCATTTTAATGCTGACGTCTTTTATTCTCATTTTGCCTTTCTTGCAGTGTGGTCACAATCCAGCAGTGCGGATCTGGGATGTCCAAGACAAGACACAGGTTGCTGAATTTCATGGACACAAGTATGGCATTCCTTGTGTGGTAAGTTACATTGTAAATACGGTGGCTGATCCAGGGGCGCAGGGGACTCCCCTCATCTCAACCAAAGAAAATCTGGCATTACTTTGAATACATATTACATTTATTTTGTAATTTGTAAAAGATTTATTAATGCACTCTCTTGTTCTTCCCAATGCCCCTGCACCTGCCCCTGCCCCCATCTACCCCCATCCACCCCATCCACCATTTTTTCCTCCTCCAGACTTTAAAGATTAGAATTTAAAAAAATTAAGGGTTCAAGCTGACGTACCTATAAAAACCTTGATTTCCATGAAGTCATGATTTTTCTGTAGAAATAAAATTTGATAAAACATGAAGTAAAGTGCATGAAGAGCCTTCAGCAAAACGTTTTCTGCATGTAAACAAGCTGGTTGCTCTCTTTCTGATTTTGGAAACATTTGTAATACAATATGTGAGGCTTGATTGGAAAGTTGGAGCTCAAAAAGGGGCACCTGCACTGCCTGCAGAATCAAGTTAGTGACTCTCTAGTCCCTAACCCAGTAATACTCTCCCATGTCATGTTTTGATCGATCAGAGTACATGTAGAGGCATTTATGTGTTTGCTACATATTTCAATTTTTACTGGGAGCCTGGCCTCCAAGTTGAACAAATTTTCCTCCTTTTCAAAGGATTATGCATGTTAGATGCAGGTAGCCTTCCTTGATTTGAGAATGAAGGAGAAGAACCAATTTATTCTTTAAAAACCAGGCTTTTGTGGTTTGGGTTATAAATAAATTGTGAAATATGCAGGCATATATTTCTTGATGTATACAGGAAGTTATCATTAGAAACATAAAAGTAGAATTTTTATGAATGGATCGAATTGTGAAATTCATTGGAAATGAGCATAACATCATATAACAAAAATGTTTTATATTTTTTATGCACTATTAGCATGCATTCTCATACACATTTTAGGGGGTAATGAATTTCGAGTCAATCTGGTTTCAGACTGCGTACTTGAGTTGAATGATTTTAACGCCTAAGCTGATTTTCATTTTGACCTGAATGCAAATTGGCAGCTTTTGAAATGCATCTGAGGCAACTGTGCACCCATAATAGCACGTAATCACTGGTCATGGTCATGGTGTTTCTTACTGACACTTCATAAGCTCCGGTGATGTTCCAGGATGGTCACTTCCCCCTAGTCTGCCCTAGAGCTACCAGATCATGTCATTATTTATGGAGAGTTCACACAAGAAGAAAAGTATACAAAATTTATACAAAGAAACATATCTAGAAGCATTGTATTGTGAAAGGGCTTGCACACCCAATATTGTATGAAGGAACATCTCATATACCTTATGAGGTCAGCTTTACATGATAAGTTTTCTGTCAGCTTGCATCATGGGTATTGCTTGAGGGTAAATTTTTATAAATTACAGCTGGCCTTTTCATGTCATATTATATCATTCATGTTATTGTTAGGTCCTATCTATTTAAATGGTTTTATTATGATATTCTCATGGGAGATGGACTCTTTTCTTTAAAAATCAAGTCTTCTTTAAAAAAAATTAAGAAAATGCTCAAACTTCCTTTTTCAAAATTATATGATATTCAATAGGAGAAGAGGAAATGAATTACTTATCGTATAGCTGTATTATTTGTCTAGTCTTAATGGGGGGATAGGGCTAATGCTTCGTTTGACTGACAGGTCTACTGGGATTAGTCAGCCTAGTTAAACCCTCTAAACCACAAGGATTAAAAGGCCTTAATCCATCCTACCTCATTCTACTCTTGATCCTCTTCGGTCCCACATCCCAACCCAACTGAGACTACTACTATAGCTAGGCGGGGAAAGATCTGAATAGCTTTTGATCCCAAATACACAGACAGAGTATTAAATAGAATATAAATATGTCTACTGAATTAGAAGTTTGAAAAAAAAATTGTTGACTGTGACTCTGTTTTGTGCCTGAAGAAGTTTTGTATCTATGTTTAGACTTAATATTTCTTTCTTTGTGATATTTGGGAGTGGCATTGTCTGCCATTTTGATCTCAGAAATGATAGATGTATATCAGTAAATTCTAGATAAAGACTGCCTCCCATATTCAAAATACATTCTTTCTTTCATTCATTTACCCACTGTTTATTTGACAAATTTGATTCACTCACATTGTAGGAATTGTAAAGCTTATAAATAATGTTTATGAAATAATGAAAGTAGATTGTTTGTGAACAAGCGCTTTGAGATCGCATTCCGAGTTCAATAGCATGGTATAAAAACATGTTATTATTAGATTAGAATAGAATACATAACATTTTATGTTGCTGATTTTCCATAGAAGGCAATTCACTTTCATTTGTTTTTAAATTATTCTATTTCTTATATACTGTAGTTGGCACGAAAAAAGAAATGCCCATTTAATTATATCTTAGATTTTTGATATGTTTCAACAATTATAAAGAGCCAAAACCAGAGTTGATAAGTAACTCATACTTCTCTATGATTGCTCCCAAGCTAGGATTAGCCTAGGAAATTACTTAAATAACACTCTATTCATTTAATCACAAATCTATATCTACAACATGCCAATGAACTACAAACAGCTGAATAACTAAATAGAAACACATCTCTTTAAAGAAGGAACCAATTAAGCTTCAGTATGATACATGTCAACACAGCAGCAAGTATGAAAATTATAATCGTTCTCATCTGTACAGTAGCCATATGGTGCTCATTTCAAATATCACTGATGCATTTATGTGAACTTGAATCACGTATAATATGTACATGTACATTTTCCTTCAAATGGTCATTACATGCTTCATTTATCACCCTTGCATTAATGTTCTGGGTCTCTATTTGCATGGTGCTCATTACAGCCATCAATCATAATAGCATAATAGGTTGAGGACTATCACACTTGGTAATGAGAAGCCTATCCTCAATTTCACAGTTAAAGCTGCAGTATAGACCAGTTCACGGTTAGCACATCACTGCAATGACCCCGAATATCCACAGATCTTCAAAACATGAAGACGTCCCACTTTGTACATTTTGAAATAATCACTCCTACAGCGATAAATAGATAGCCTTTGTTTCCCCTTTTCAAAGAATACTTCCACCTGTGTATCATGGAGTGCACTGAATGTGCATGAATGAATAATAATCACATAACTTTCATGAGCACGCATCCAGTATTGCGTCTCCGTGTATTTCAAAATTTGTTCTGCAATGACCTTTATCTGCTCATGCTCAGACTGCAACCGTGAAATGGCTTATTAATGTCACAGTTAACAACTTAAGTATTCATGTCATTACTGAGTTATGTCATTTTTAAGTACCCGGTATGTGAAAAATTGATTTGTCCCAATTTGTGTTTCTGGAGAATGTGACATATTAGAGCTTACATCTAAAGTATTCAACAAAGGCCCTGATTTAACCAATCACATTCATTCCGGGTTATGAAAAACACCAAAAACATAAAATTTGAATCACTCAGTCGTTAACTGTTTATCATTCTTATTCTCTTTGGTTCCGTTTGGGTCAGTAGTATAATATCCTAAAAGAATTTAATGTTGCATTATTGATAAATCATCTTTTTTTTTCTTTTCTTCTTTATTCTTAGATGATAAATCCTTGGAATGAGATGCCCGATTCTTTCTCTTTTTTGTATCTTTTTGCCTTGATAAATAGTTTTCCTCTCCAAAGTTATATGTGCTTGAAAGCGCATCTGATAAACAATTATCAGAAGTTCTAGCACACTTTTTTTTTATGCCTACTTGTTTACTAATTTTTATGCCTACTTTTTTACTATTTTGTATGTGATCAACCCATGTATAGTTTATCAGGGAATTAGTAGCAGCGCAAGTTGCTTGGAAATGGTACTTGAATGATATAATTTTACAGCAATAGTAGTAAATTGCAAGACGAGGATAAACTCCTTTTTGGCTGCTAATGTAAACAATTGCGAGAATTAAGGGAAGGCTAAATTTGTGTAGTGTGTGACTCTATACTCTACTTAATATAGTCATGATAATTTCAAGATAAACAATCCTTTCTCCATTCTCAATTTTGCTGACATTCTCATGTGTATCCATTTTTCATTGCAGCGTTTTACACCGGATATGCAGTATGTGGTATCGATCGGAGAGCAACACGACATGGTTGTCAACGTGTGGGACTGGAAGAAGAACATCAAGCACTCGTCTGGAAAGATTGCAGCCCAGGTAAATCACAAAACTGAGATTTTATTAGCCTTCAGACTTCAGTGATCTGTAAGGAATGAATGCCAAGGTTAGATCTGATGAGTCATATTGAGTGATTGCTTTCTCGAGGATAACATTAAGCACGATTCAAGTCCGCACCCACCCTCCCTTCGCAATCTCTTTTTTTACTTGATGCATTGCATAATCATAAAGTGGAAAAGGTATGTTGATGGGTTGGATCCAGTTTGAGTAGATTCCATTCACAAGGTCAAAAGAAAGTTGGAAATCAAACAAAATACACCTGAAATTCCATTTTCTTTTAATTTCTAACCTTCTGAAAAAAAAATTCTTTAACGATTTCTTCACTCAACCTTGGGAATTCCTCTCTCAAGGGAATCCTTTTGTATTTTCAAAAATTAATTTTCCTGTACTAGGAAATTGAACATTATTTGTATTACCTCGTTCATACCGACAAGACTGATGCCAGAGCGACAAAAGACCGAAAAAGAAATTGCATTACCCCAAAAGGTCAAGAACCAGTTGGTTTAAAGTTGGTTTTTAGTTCGTTTGCTAATGTTGGTGTGTGACATATGTCTGAAGCAGAAAAATACTGGCGTTACTAGGAGAGCTGTAGAGATTAGGGCAAGAATTTCCCAAGTTTCCTTGTGTTATGTCCACTTATCCAAACTGATTAAAGCTTGTAATTAGTTTTAATTGACCCTCAGACCAGGTCAAGAACAGACCGAAGAGACTATCAAGCTGGGAAAAAAATTCTTGAAGGTGATGCATTGATTCCATCTGCTTCTGTACGGTCAATGACACAGTCAAGTCTATCGCAGGGACCGGTCTCGAGTTTAGGAATGCGTTAGATGGAAACTCCTGGCGTGTTTACACTAAGAAACCGTCATTGGTATGCTCGTTACCCTCTAGGAGATACCAGTCAATGGATGCAGTCTTTCATCTCACTGTAGATCATCTTACCCTCGACGAAAGTTGGAACTATAAATCTAGCTCTTGATACTTTGAATAGCTTCCTGGAAGGTGTATTTAACGAGATGAATACTCAAGTGCCATCCTCTTGAAGTAGCTCTTACTTTAGTTGTTGTTTTTATGTTAACTATCTTTTTGATTTATGGCCTTTGACAATCTGTGCATCTCTTGCATTTTCAATATCTCCTTATCAGAAAAAAAGCATTTTAGCAAATATGTTTGATATATGGAGAACCAAAACAGTGTAATATTTGTTGCATTTTTGCAATGAATGGATTTTTTAAAACCATCCTCTTGATTTATTGATTTATTGAAAAATCTGAACATCCTTTGCATTTTCATTGATTTTCTCTTCATCAGAAAAAAATAATTTTGGTAAATCTGTTTGATGTATAAAGAACCGAAAACAGTGCAATACTTGGATCCCTATTGCACTGTATGGTTTGCAAATAAAAATAAAAACATTGTCTTTATTTATGACTTTTGGAAAAATTGTCTATCTTCTGCATTTTCAATATCTCCTCAACTGAAGAAATCATTAAGTTTGATGTAGAACAACAACAAAAAACAGGAAACTGTTTCACAAAGCTTTTTTTAAATGACAAAAACAGTGACAAATCTGCTGATAACCAATCATAAGCAAGGATTTCATTAGCTAATAAAAAAAAAACTGTCATTTGTCACTGATGACAAGTTTTGTGAAATGGGGCCCTGAACAATGTAATATATGGTCCCCTGTTGCTCTGTATGGAGAAGAAAAAAATTATGTCACTTTTATTTGGCCGTTACCCAAGAGCATCGGTCAAGAGATCCGGCCTTTCATCTCACCGTAGATCATCTACACTTGACCAAGGCTGGAGACATAATCTGGTTCTTGACGAGGAGTTTAATAGCTTCCTGGAAAATGTATTAAGTAGAAGAGTACTATCCAGGTCAAAGAACCACCATTGGAGCTGCTTGTAGTTATTAATCAACTAGGTTTTGTGGAACGATAATAATATTTTACTGCAAAATCAGCTTCTGGTTTTGATGATAATTTCTCACTCTTCCACTTGATGTCACTTTTGGGACCCGTTTCACAAAGCCTTTTTTCAATGACAAATTACAAAAATCAGTGACAAATCTGCTGATAACCAATCAGAAGCAAGGATTTCACTAGGTTATAACACAAACTGTCATTTGTCACTGATGACAAGTTTTGTGAAATGGGGCCCTGGTCTGATTTATTTGCTCACACTATCTCTTGCCTTTTCTTAATCTCTGTATCAACTTATCACAAATATGTGGAATAATCTCAAAATACAACTTATTTCAAAATATTTGTTTAAATTTAATACCGCATAATCTTTGTTGGTCTCTCTACAGTCCAATATATCCAGCAACAGCATTATCCTGATGATTAGTATTGCACTATATGCACTGAACTTTAATTTTAATTTGGGTATTCAGGTCAGGTTCAAATGACCTACAGTGATTGAAGGTTATGTCAATAATGGCATGTACGGAAATTCCTTACGGGCAAACATGCTGGACTTTGAATCAAAACAAAGCATTGTACTGTACACCTTGCATTGCTTGTATGCATATATTACCTCTGTCACACTGCCAAACTGCTTCTAAACTGATCAGTGATTTGGCCATGGGGGGGGGGGGGGGGATGTACTATTGTCATTCCTGTAGTATCAGCAGCTGAAAAACGTTTTTGCAGTAGCTGCATCAAAGACTTGGAACAGCATCCCTCTTTCCATAAGGGAATTTACCTGTCTTGCCACCTTCAAAAGATCCCTCAAAACTCACCTTTCCCCAATGATCTATGTGATATACTTCCTGTACTGTACATTTTTGTCCTCTTTTCATATATTTGTATTTGAAAGCGCCATGGTATTTATTGTTTTTAGCGCTCCTAAATATTCAACACTATTATTATTATCAGCCTGGTGTTGGCCCCATCAATGTGACTGGGGTAAATTATGTTGGTATGCTCATGAGAGACATCCGTGTTTCTCCCATCCACCCTCTTTGTATTGGTGAGATGCTATCATTGATCCACTAGAGATCTTCTTACCTCAACAAAAGATGAGAACTTATCTCTCACTCATAAACAAAGATCTAGTGTGCATTCAAGGAAAATGTATGAGATGATGTACAGTATGTATGTGCAGCCACAGGCTCTTATTGTGTAGTCAGTAGTCATACATATGTATTTATTGTAGTAGTAGTAGTAGTTGCAACAGTAGCAGCAGCAGCAATACTGATATGCTCATTAGAAGCATCTGAACTTCCCCCATCTCCCCTCTTCATATCGATGAGATATTATTATTGCTCCCCCTCTAGATAATCTAACCTTGACACAAGATGAGAAGTTATCTCACTCATAAACAAAGATCTTATTATGCATTCAAGGAAAGTGTATGAGATGAAATATGTGATGTGTATTCATTGACTCATATTTAGTAGTAGTAGTAGCACCAATACTGATGCGCTCATTAGAGGTATCTGTGCTTCTCCCACCTTCTCTGCCTGTGTTGATGATATACTATCATTGATCCACTCCACTCTGGATCATCTAACCTTGACACATGATAAGACGGTATCTCTCACTCGTAAACAAAGATCTGAGTGTGCATTCAAGGAACGTGTATGAGATGAAATGTGTCTGTGCAGCCTTGGACTATATTGTTTATATCACAGTAGTAGAAGCAGTTTTCTCTGGAAGTCATAAAAGGACAGCATTTTGTAGAATTCATAATAAATACACGTACTATAATCTCTGTAGCGTGACGTTAAATACAGCTATCTGGCATCAGAGATGCAAATGTACATATATATGGAAGTGTTTTGTTTACTGTTATCTGTTTTATAATGGTCAACGTAACCACCATTTGCCACAAACAATTGAACAGCGACAGGAAATCTCAGAGACATGGTCATCTCATGCTAGAGGACATGGAAACATACACATGTATATTTAGATGTTACAGTTTTGCCCAGTGATGGTACATTGTTCCTGTCACATTTGGTACTTCTAGTTTTATTGATTAAAAGGAAGCTAGAGATAATTAGCAACTTTGACCTGGCCTGGCTTGCCTCAAAAGTACAGTTACATATCAGATATATATATATATATATATAAGCTAGGTACGCATGCAGAGATTAGAATCACAATATCCTATTGATACTAGTCGTTATGTAAAGTCAATTGAGACTATACATGTTTGTTTGTGTAATAAGAAACCACATTAGCTAGCACTCATTAGCTTGTCATGTAGTACAAAATTATTCAACTATCAACAGATGGTGTTGAACTGAATGTACAATATACTTAAAAATCAGACATACACTAAACAAAATTTGTAGAAATTACAAGTTGGAATATATTCCAGAAAAAAATATACTTTGGTATATATATATGTAGGAGCTTGATGACATAAAAAAGTTTATTTCACAACCATTTCTGTACTTCTTAGAAAATTTTTCCTTCAATCACTGTCTCAGATTGCATAAAGGACTACTTTTTTGTTTTTGTAAAGCTCCTACACATTTTATTGTCAATGAAAGAAATTGGCATTTCTCTTCCCCTCCCATCCCTCCCTCCCTCCCTCCCTCCCTCCCTCCATCCCCTCCCTCTCTATACCAACGAGGTGCTAGACAGTTTGTATCCATTACCCTAATCAATGAAGGAGGTGAGAAAAGTGCCATTATAATAAGCATGCCGACCTACAATCCCAGGCAAGCTTGGCCAGCACATGATGTCCTCATATCGCCAAACCAAAGTTGATCTAGTAATCACGAAACCATAATAAACATCTGGCATGTGTTAGTCTAGACAACACAACACAGCTGTTTCATGAAACGGGCTACTATACTGGGTCTCCGCTGGCTACGTATTGCTCTGTTTATACTGTATATCTAGGTAGATGTCAGCCCATTTAAAGGGAATGTTTAACTAATAATTGTAGTAAATTCAAATATTTAATCTCTAAATCATGATCTAGTGTTGGTCTAGACAGTACAATTTGTTTCGAGATGCA